GTTCTGTTCAAGAAGTTGTTGCCTGTAACAGTGAGTTCAAGGATCTTCCCCACTTTTTCTTCTGACAGATTTAGTGTGTCTGGTTTTATGTTGAGGTCTTTGATCCACTTGATTTTAGTTTTGTGCAGGGTGATAAATATAGATCTGGTTGCATTTTTCTGTATGTAGAAGTCCAGTTAGACCAGCACCATTTGTTGAAGATGCTATCTTTTTTCCATTGTATGGTTTTGGTATCTTTGTCAAAAATCAGGTGTCCATAAGTGTGTGGGTTTATTTCTGGGTCTTCTATTCAATTCCATTGATCCACCAGTCGGTTTCTATGCCAGTACCATGGAGTTTTTATTACTGTTGCTGTATAGTACAGCTTAAGATCAGGGATGAGATACCTCCAGAAGTTCTTTTATTATAGAGGATTGTTTTAGTGATTCTGGGTTTCTTGTTATTCCATGTTAAGTTGAGAATTTTTCTTTCAATGTCTGTAAAGAGTTGTTTTGGTAATTTGATGGGAATTGCATTGAATCTGTGGATTGCTTTTGGTAAGATGGCCATTTTTACTATGTTAATCCTGCCAAGCCAATCTGTATACCTAAAGAAGCTAATCAAGAAGGAAGACCCTGGGTAAGATGCTCAATCTTCATTCAGAAAGGCAAATGAGACAGATATCAGAAGAGGGAGAAAACAGAGAACAGGATAGGAGCCTATCACAGCGGGCCTCTGAAAGACTATGCCCAGCATGGTATCAAAACATGCTGAGATTCATAGCCAAACTTTGGGCAGAGTGCAGGGAATCTTATGAAAGAAGAGGGAAGACAGAAAGACCTGGAGGGAATATAAGCTCCACAAGGAGAGCAACAGAACCAAAAAATCTGGGCATAGGGGTCTTCTGGGAGACTGATACTCCAAACAAGGACCATGCATGGAGATAACTTAGAACCTCTGCACAGAAGGAGCCCATGGTAACTCAGTGTCCAAGAGGGTTCCCCAATAATAGGACCAGGGACTGTCTCTGACATGAACTCATGGGCTGGCTCTTTGAGCACCTCCACCTGAGGGGAGAGCAGCCTTACCAGGCCATACAGGAAGATAAAGAAGCCAGTCTTGATGAGACCTGATAGACTAGGGTCAGATGGAAGGGGAGGATGATGTACCCTATCATTGTACTGAGGGAAGGGCATAGGAGAAGAAGAGGGAGGGAGGTGGGATTGGAATGAGATGGAGGAAGGACTACAGCTGGGATACAAAGTGAATAAACTGTAATTAATAAAAATAAAATAAAATAATTTAAAAAAATGAATGTGATTCTCTGGGCCAGGTACTGACTGAGCAGTTTGCTTCTTCTTGTTGCTCATAGAAAAATTTCACTAGGTCTCAGGGAAGTAACTCCCCCTAAAAGTATAACAAGCCTGAGGAAAAGTCAGAGGGAATTACTCATGTCCAGACCCCACTCTGCCCACTTCCTGTGCCACATCCAGGGGAAAGGCCTCTGCTGCTGACTAACCTCCTGCCTCCAACAAACCTGCCTCCTTTCCCTTGTTCTGATCTCTGGCCTCTTGGTCTATCACTATTTCCTCTGGCCTTCTGTGAGTGTCTTGGCAGTTACCTAAGCTTGTAGCAGATAACAGGGAGTAGAGGAGTATTTAAGGAAGTGCTGACTTCTTGACCAAATACTTTCTAGAATTTGGACAGAATGCAGTATTGCTTAGTTCAGGTGATTGCCCACAATCTTCTGTTCTACTTTTGTTTTTGCTTTGGGATTTGAGAGATGCAGAGACTTGATTCTGTAATTTCTGGTTCATTGAATGGCTGTGGTAGCCAACAGAGAATTAAAGCGTGCACTGTGACCCTGTGTGATGGAAAGTTAAGGGACTAGTCATCATGGAACATGGCAGCATGGGTGATGTTCTTTGTGCAGCCCCAACTTTGTGTGGTGCTGCCTGACCTCTGGGGTCACAGAAGGAGGGTCTGACCTGTTGTATTTATTCTTCCTTGTGACTTTGTGTCCAGACTTTGCTCTAGGCTCCTATCCTATCCCAGACGAAGGGAAGGTGGCTATTCCAGCTGACAAATGGAAAATCAGCTTCCTGAGGCAGGATATCCCAGGCATGGCCTGAGGGAAGAGACTTCTTCTGCAGCTCCTGCATGGAACTAGAGCCTTGAGGAGACAGCTCTTTTTGAGAGAATTGGTGTGACAGTTGAGAAATTTTCCGTTGGATATGGCACTGTGCTGACTCAAACAAGAGTCAAAGCCAAACTACCCTATATCGTTGAAACAAATCTGAGCCAAGTCAACAGGAAGCACAACCATCATGTCTTTCTTTCCTCTGGCCCAACAATTTCTGTGGCTAAAAACTACTTTATTTTTCTGAAGGCTTTCAGAAATTTAAGCCTGTTGATTTAAAAAAGAAATCTGACTTGGATGGCAAAGGGCCTCCTTTTAGTTGTCATTGGTGATACCAGGTATAGACTAGAAAGTAGTCTATACCTGCTTCCTTCTGCTTAAATCTCTGGAAAGTTGTTGTTTCAGCCTGAAACATCATGGCTGACTCATAGTGCTCTCCTCAATCCTATGAAAGTAAATGTTCATTCCATCTCTGGAAGGAAGAGCTTTGCTAACAGTTGTCAAAGCAACTGTCTTTAATGCAGAGAGACTACTAAGGAGATTGGAAAAGGGTAAGAGTGGAGCTTATGGGAAAGAAGAATCAGCCCACAGGGGAAGGACCATGGATGGTAATGGGTAAAAGAGTACTCTCAGTTCCATTGAGCTAATCCCTGCAATTGCAATCTAGAGCTCCCTGGTCACCTGCCAAAGCAGTGAGAACATGATCTCCCAGGCTAGGCCCTAACCCAGTTCCAGTCCTTAAAATCCAGGTACTGAGACTCAGGCCATTGGGTACCCAACCTTAATATGCCCATAGTCTGTTTCCCCTCACCAGCCCATCTCAACCATCCACCATGACCAATCTTAGGCCCCTTCATTATGCCCCTCTCAGGAAGTACAGAGGTAGAAATGGTAGTTTGGGTCCCACTCCTTCAACTCTGTAGTAAATATTGCGGTTGACCCTCTCCACCCAGCCAGGCAGAACTGAATTCTCTGCTCACTGTCTTCCTAGGTTACTACAGTATCAGGCCAAGGTGGGCCGCTGAGATAACTCCATCATGGCCTTTAATGCATAGAAGAGAAGTTCTCAGAGTATTGTTAGGACTAGGTGAGCAGAGGGAAGAAGCAATGAAACAAGAGAGAATGTAAAGGAGGTAGGGGACAAGGCATTCTACCTATGTTAATAGAGAAAATAGCTTGTGACCTCACTAAAGATCGCTGAGTTCTCTGGCAACTGGTTCATAGTTCATATCCATTCAAAGCTTGTTTCTCAAACATTCCCTTGTCTATTACAATCTGTGTCACAGCCTCATGCAGGTCCTCAGAGAGTTATAGGGAAAATAGAAAACACATATCCACCTTCACAATGCTAATGACTCTACACATATCAGAAGCAATTAGAGAACAATTCAAATAGTAAGTCAATATGCATTAGCTAATACATATACAATGAGCAAATCAATTGATTATAATCCTAGGATACATGTCTAATAGAACAAAAAGGTGCCGGCATATGTAATTAATTATTAGGGGCAAGGGGCTTCCCAGAGCAGGCAAGACAAGGCAGAAGAAATGTAGTAGGATGGGAAAGGGAAGCTGGAATAGGAAATGGGATAGGGAATGAATGGTGAGCTGCTGATCTGGAATGGAACTATGATTTGAACCCACTCATACCAGGGACTCCTTGCCAACAGCTCCTTACATGAAATTCTTTCCTTGAGGACATGTAGGGCTCATCCAGAGTAGCCTTCTCCACACCTCTGCTGATAGCCTCAGCATCTCTGGGAGTCTTAAACATGGGAATCTCCCACCAAAACAGAGGTTATGGTCTGGCTCAGTCACAAACTTTCCATCCCCTCCAGGCAATTCTGGGGGCAGCAGGATTAAGAGCATTAAGTTATCATGCTGCTTCACAAGCTTGGCTGTGCCTTTGCTTATGGAGCTTTTAAACCAGGTGACAATGCCTAGGCCATACCCTTAAAGATTATGATTCATGGGTCCAGCTCTGATATTCACCTTAAAAAACAAAAACAACAACAACAACAACAACTTTTCAAGATAAGCTGAAGTATGTAGCCTGGGCAGAGCAGCCTTAGGTAAATGGCATTCAGGTCCTTTTTGTTTACTGTCTTGGGGTGGGGCAAAAGAAAAAGGAACATACTTCATCTTCCTAGGTAACTTGAAAATAGAGCCAACTGGCATCTAGGTGTAGAAAGATTTCTGAGACCTGAAATCTTCAGTCTCTCAATGATAACAAGGCTTTTGATGATCTGCATAATTATTCCCCCATGTCAGCCTAACACAAGGGTACTGTGGATAGACAATTGACTCTCCAATTGTCTGTTGACTCTCCAATACCTAGAGTAGTTATGCTTATACACACCCGCGTGCTACAAACATCACACATTCTGTAGATGGTTATGCACACAAAAACAACTGCATAGAGACAGTCAGAAACTTTCACGTGCATTCAACCACAAATAAACCACCACTAGGAATCCCAGACCCAAACTGGGCATTTTGACAAATTGTACATGTCTGTAAACCCATAGGTGGAAAAGTTGAAGGTAGAGGATTATGGATTAGTGGGAAGACTGGGTTACATAGTAAAACCCTAGCTCCAAATAAATAAAAGAAAGAAGAAAAGGGAGACAGGGAAGGGGAAGAGAGAGAAGGAGAAGGGAAAACAGGGTAGAAGGAAAGAGAGAGCAGGAGATCTCAGATCCTGCATACTGAAAGTGGGTGTAAATGGATTGGAGAGTTTAATATAAGTTGCACATCTTTCCAGGGCATGACCTAAAGGAATAGCAACTGACTTTTATAAGCCACCCTTCCAGGTGGAAGCAGGTAGTCCATGGGAAGGCTGGACGTCAATACTAAGGGCAATTTGGGTTTCTTGCAGATCCGAGCTGATGGTCCCCCCCATGGAGGGGTCCAGTATGAGATGGTCTCTGTGTTCAAAGATGGGAGCCCCATCCTCCGGGACATGGCCTTTTCTATCAATCAGTTCTACCTGTATGTTATGTCTGAGAGACAGGTAAGTGCTGACACATATCTCTCCTTTCCAACTCTAGGAAACCTCTGATAACCTGTCACCTTTGATCAGAAGTTGATCTAACCTACAGCAGAGACTCCGAGTTTGCTGTGCAGGGATTCTGAGAAAGTTAGAGTTCTGTGGCATTTACAGAGAGATAGAGGGAAGCTACCAGGGCAAGCCTCTTCCCGGAGGCTTCTTTCTAGGCCACAGCCCCTGTCTGAGTGAGTGATGAAAAGCCCTGCAAGAAAGAGCTAGGCTGAGCCCTGCAGCATGGTGTGATTAGGAGGTAGATTTACTGCTCCTGGGCCCACAGAGTTGGCTGCTCATGGAAGCCAAAGAGTGTAAATAATCTAGGCCTCTAGGCTGGCCTGGCTTCTGGGAGACAGGGATGAAATGGGGCTCTGAAAGGAGATGAGATCTTGGCCTGAATCTGAGATTGGATGCAGGATGGAGCTGGTCCATTCTGGAAAGCTGAAACTACTACAGAGGTTGAAGACCTCACAAGAGATGCCTCAATCCTCTGCTAAAGTAGCAACTGCACAAACCCTATTTTCCAGGATCCAGGGAAAATTTACTCTTCAGCTCACATTTTATCTACAGGTGTTTGAACAGAGGGAACTATGGGGAAGGAAGGAATCAGGGATGATGGGATTTACCAGACACCCTGGAGGAAAGAAACTGAGCAAATTTCTTAGCCACGGCTAGCCATTCGTTCTGCAGCAGCCATGATAGTATTCTTTTTTCTGAGGATAACAAAAAAGAAAGACAAGGATTCTGAGGTTGTCTCAGAGCTCAGGATGCTGACTGAAACTGTAAAGACAGCTGAGCTGGAGGACCCACCCCTTCACTAGGTATGTCCCAGTAACTGTGTCTTTTCATGAATATTCCTCAAAGACCCCAAAGCCCCTGGTCAGCTTTATGATTCCCAGAGTTCTGTGTGCTCTCATTTCAAAGACATAGAATCTGGATCAATGGATGATAAATGAGGCATGTGCAGGCGTAAGGAAAGGGTATGGGTGCATGATGGCATAAGGGAAGCAGTGATGCAGCTCTAACTTGAAAATTACTTCTTGAGAATAGATGACACAAATCATATGCTAACTGAATGCAAATTACATCTTGATCCTCTTGAGCCCACCTGTCTTTTCTACCTTTATTCATATGGCCTCTGCAGTTGAGGCATAAACAGATCCATTTGAGAACTTAGTAGAACTGACAGAAACTTTGCCAAACCAGAGTGGGTAAGACAGTCCTAGAAACAAACATTGGCCTATTAGCCCAATAAAATAACCAGTGGATCTTGGAAAAGTGTTACTGGACAAATAATTATTGGGAACATAGTATAGGAAAAATATCAGAACAAATGAGGTTTGGTTGTTATCCTTAAGTTGATTACAATCTAATAAGGGAGACATATGCCTAGAGATCTGTACCATTGGATAGAGTCTCTGGGTGCTCTAGGATTTTCCTCCTATTCTTTTTGGTTTTTAAGGCAGAAACTTATTTGTACTATGGGGGATACATTTGTATATGTGTGTGTTGTGTGTGTGCAGGCTAGGAACCAACCTCAGACATCGATCCCAAGGCATCATCTACTTTGTTTCTTAAGACAGTGTCTCTCAGTAGCCAAGAACTTATTCAACAAATACAGTAGGCTGACCAGCAAGTAAGCCCCAGGGTTTAGTTTGTCTCTACTCCCTACTACTCGGATTATAGATGTGTGGCTGTCTTTTGTTTATATGGACTCTAGAGGTCCAACTCAAGTCCTCATGTTTGTATGACAAACACTGACTGAGCCATGCCCTCAACCCCCAGAGAGTTATTTTTAAACAAAGAAGGTAGATACTTACTCCATAAATTCTAAGCCCTACATTTTAAAAATAGTCACAAGTCACCAAATCCTCATTTTCAAAATATAACACCCTACTGACATTTGGCCAACACCCAGATAGTTCTAAAGAACTACCTGCAGACAGCAGGATGAAGTGGCAACTATAGAGCCAGTGAAAGGGTGACCACACTGGATGAAGAGTCTATGCTTTGGTAGTATTTTCAGATATTCTGTATGCCAAAGGACCAAGCAGATCACTCTGGGCAAGAACTATCTCTTGGGTTCCCTGAGTCTATTCAAATATAAATCCAAGAAACACATAGCAGTAACCAGTGAGAGCTAAAGGTGACTAAGAAGGTGGCAGAGCAGCACATTCTCTTCTCAGATGGGATGCTTTTTGAAAATGCATTCAAAATGTGGGCAGAAGAGGATGTGGCTCAAAAGCAGAGAGCTTGCCTGGCATGCTCAAGCCCTGGGTTCCTTTCCTAGCACTATACAGATGGCTGAGAAAAGAGACTGGGTCAGAAATGAGAACTGCTCAGTAAGCTTCAGGGTACATAATGAGCTCCTAGTCAATATTTGAAAGTATCAGCCCTAGCCACATCAAGTGCCCAAGTATCTTGTTTATAAATATTCTTTCCTTTCACCTATCTTTTGTATCAGATACCCTGTTCTTGTAATAGTCAGAACCAGACAGATTGCACAGCAGCCAGCCACTGGAAGCTGAAATTGTAATCCTTTGAGTGTAATGTCATGGGGCTGTCTCTGGTCAAGTAAGATATTAGTAGGAGTTCCCCATACCAAATGGAGTGAGGCAATCAGGAGGCTGAGTCTAAAGGGGGATTTGTGGTGGAGCTCTGAAGCCTGTCCCCTGAGAGACTGCAAATCATGTAGAAGAGCTAGTTAGGTGACTTCAGCAGGGGTGATCCAGGGCTGATGGCCAAGAGCAGCTCATAGGGCCCATCTGTCTGAGGCCATGGAACAGAGTATTGATACTCAGAATGGCCTCACAAAAGACACAGTTTAATGTGTGCCAGGCGGATAGTCAGTAAGAACAGAGTCAGGCAGCCTGTTTTTGCTCCCAGTGTTTGCCATTATTGTTCACATGATCCCACAACCTTAGCTTACTCCTTTACTAATTAAAGAATATGAATCAGATAATGAGGTATCTCTGAAGCCCCATGGCTAAGTCCTGTCTCATACTTTATAGCTGAGTTGCCTTGGACAGCCACTTAATCTCAGTGTATCTCACAGAAGGAAAGCATGAGAAAAGTTGAGATAACAAATGAAGAATTTCTTCTTATTCAGCATCAACGACCATACTTACCATGAGCACTCTATATGGCCTTTTTCTAGCCCTTGCTCCCTATAGTCCCATTACTGCATATGTAGTGGTATGTGATTCTTAAGATGAAGATAACAGCATGTGACCCAAATAGCTAGCCCTGCCTGAGCTAGGAGGCCCCAGGTCTTGGAGCCTCTAGTCCTGACTCCACCAAAAGCTAACTAGAGTCCTAGTCCCTTAACTCCTTGGGGACTTGGAAAGACAAGTGTCCAAGACAGAAATGGCAGTCTAATTCCAGCATCTCCCAGATCTTAACAAGACTTAGCAAAGTCCTGGGTTGGGACTTTTAAAAATAATATTGGAAATAAATGTATTTTTATTATTACTAAATCAACAATATAAACTTCTCATTGTTGATACTTTAACATGTGTTTTCCTTATACTTTTAAATATTAAATGTTTCCTGTACATCTTGGACATTTTTTTATACTGTCAAGTCCTTAGGAATGATCCTTGGGTTCTGGTAATTTTTCTTTGGTATTTTTTTTTTTTACTCAGTTTATAAAGTGTCTATATCAAGAATGAGAAATGATATTTTTTGTCAATTATTTTGTGAATTTGGGTTGTTTTTCTTTTCACTTAACTCTGCGGTCATTTGGGGGAGAGAAATGATATTCTAATAAGTGGTTCTCAACCTGTGGACTGTAGTCAAGCAGCCCTTTCACAGGGGCTACCTAAGACCATCAAAAAGCACAGATATTTACATTATAATTCATAGCAATAGTAAAAGTATAGTTATGAAGTGGCAATGAAAATGATCTTATGGTTGGGGAGCATCACAACATGAAGAACTGTACTAACGGACCACAACGTTAGAAGGTTGAGAACCACTGTTATAATGGATGAAATGACCATAATTAGATTATTTGTCATAAAGTGTTTCTTCTGCTGCTGAAAGTGTCTACTGAAACATACATTAACAATTTTCTAAATGAATTTTCCAGATAACTTCATTTTAATTTGAGTTTTATTGTCTCAATTTTGGAGCACATTTGACACATAAATCAATTTTCATGTTCTCTTACAAACACTGTACTCAGTAGCAGCATTGGTAAGCTTGACACTAGACCATAAGACCTTTCTAAAGGAAAGATAGATAAATGCTCCTATAAGTATCTTCCCTGAACCATGATCACTATGCAGAGATTAGGAATTTGTTGATCAGTAAGTATGTTCATGGGTCAAGGCAGTATATCTGTTTTCCATTATTGTAACAAAATATTTGAAATGAGGTAACTTGTAAAGTGAAGAAGTGTATGTGCCAAAGTCAAAACAGTACGGTCTAATCCCCGGTAGGGACTGCTTACCTGTGTCACAGTGTTGTAGGTATCCAAGAACATGCTTGAGGAGGGGGATCACATGATAAGACCAGAAGCAGAGAGGTGGGGGAGGAGCTAGACTTGCTCCTTCTTAACAACCCTTTTGTAAGAACTAACCAATATCTTCCCAAGGACAGAACCTTCAGTGATCTAATTACATGCCAGTATCTATCCTCCTTAAAGGCTCCACAGTAATTTCCAGATTGTGAGGTTGTGTGTCACACTCAAGCCCTACTCAAACTTCATAGGGCACTATTGTGAGGGTCCTTTCTGTGATTTCACTTTGTAGCATACTATTATGGACAGTGTAGTTTCATGTCTTCTATGCTTCTGTTTCCCCACCCTTTGCCAAAGATATGGTACCTCTTATATCCTTGGGACCATGTGAGAGCAGAATCAGGTTTCCAGTTCTGCCTGGAGAGTATTCCATCTCTGCACAAAGCTAGAACCTTCCAATCTAGCACTCAGATCTCTCTCTCTCTCTTTCTCTCTGTCAATTAACTAA